TGCTGTAGACGTTCGTTATACGTACCTTGAATGAACATTCACTTTCGAATTTATGAATGAACGACGTCTTTCGTGTTTTCATTCTCGCATTGCACTTCCCAGACTGTAATTAATTTTAATTTCGCGTTACTGCTATACGAGCCGAAAATGCGGAACACCCACGAGTGCTAATTGCATTACAGATTATATAATCGCACACAGGTGCTTAATGATGATCTTTTTATATACTTTGGAAGATAACTTGGGAATTATATCAGAGGGCCGGTTTTTCATGTTATCGTTAAATCTAGCTAATTTCGATGGAAACAGACGTATCCACCTAGGCCATCTATAAGTTTTAGAACACGAAAAACTGCTCTTAAATGTGAAAACGTTCCACTACGGAAGAAACACAAAGCTTAACCGCAACGTTGTGTCTTAGATTAGCTGATTCGTGCCAGTTAATAAATAAAAAAATCAAAAAGTATAGTGGAGCGGTAATAATTATTTTTTCTCGAAAATGGTGTGTGAGGCATAACACTGCAAGGTACCCAATAAATACACCCTTTCGTATAAGAACGCAAGCTAAATTATGGACAATTTTTCTCTGCTAATAATTCTGCCCTCTACCAGTGGTTTTCTGGACTGCTATTGTATCACATTCTTAAAACAAATCGCTAGGGGTCGCTGAATTTAGAATCAGACGTTTATGCTGTAGAATTGTTGTTATACTGGCAACTGGTACGCGTAAAAGTGAATTTTCGCGTACACGGTGCTGAACAGTTGAAGTGTTATCATTGCTGTAGACTTTTCTGGTAAGTAAAAATTATTAAGCGGCAGAGTGTCCGTCTGTCCGTGAACACGATAACTATCAAACGCTTGGACCGGACTGGCCCAGGCCGCTATGGATGGGGCCCTCTATGGGCCAGTCAATTTTTGAAGCATTAATGTATTATTATATGTATTGTTAGTTTAAATTTGGAGAAGGATAAATTAATTGATAAATTTGCCAATACGTCATTGGAATTACAGCGCCTTCTCCTTTCATTAAATGTTCAATACTGTTCAGCAAGTTGTTTGCAATACAATTAAAAAAATCTGCAAATCCCTCGTCTTCTGGGGGAGGGGGGGGGGGTCCATAAGTTTGGGGGCCTTTTGGACGTGGAGCGCCCGGGGCCCTTACCCACCTAGTCCGGCCCTGCCTATATGCCACAAGTAATAAGCCTATTGAAAATGGGTCAAATCCAATGACCCCTTGGGGTCACGCCTCTCTGTCTCTGCCAAACGCTTGAACCTATTTAGTTCAAACTTTGTACAGTTGACCTATAGGCCACTTGTAATAAGCCGATTGAAAATTGGTCAAATCCAATGACCCCGTGGGGTCATGCTTCTCTGTCCCTGCCAAACGCTTGAACCTATTCGTTTGAAACTTTGCACAGTTAATATATATACCACATGTAACAAGCCAATTGAAAATGGGTCAAATCCAATGACTCCGTGGGGTCACACCGAGGTGCTCTGCCGCTTTTTTAAGCACTGTGCTATTTTGCCCTATTTTGTCTATTATAGTAGTGTCCCTGTATGAGGCCATTATACAAATATGTCAAACCTGTCCTCATTTGAGTACAACTTTTGTGATTACTGATCATTTATACATTTTTTTTGTTTATAAATTATTCTGCAAGATTACCTGTTTTAGAAATGGCCCACGAAAAACTGACTGAACGAGAGTTAGATCTCCATTAAATTTGCGTGGAAAATGAGGATGGTTCATGTGTGCTACCACAGATCGTTCAATCAGACTTGCGAAAAACCTTCGGAATTTATTATTGCTATAGTTCGGATCATAGGCATCAATAGTGAAGACAGCGAGGACAGGGGAATTCTCTTAGAAGAGTATCTCAAGGATTTTCAAAAAGGATTGAAGATTTGTCACAGAATACCGGTACCAGAATAACGATTTTTGACATGTTTGGATCAAAATACGTGTGGCTTCAGAAAATCTTTGAATCAAACACACCCGGTTATCAAATGTGCGTTAAGCATCAATAAGATATGTGTTTAATGTGTTTGAAGATCTTGATTTGTTATTTTGGTTGCATAAAATTAGGCGCCCTTCAGAAGGATTTTGTCATTTAAAAGTAGACATAGGGAAAAAAAATACACAAAAATCCCTATATCTACTTTTTAATAAATATCACTGTATAGTCCTAAAAAACCAAGCAAATGGAGCTACAAATATTGGGCAAGAGCGGGGGCCGTTAATTTCCTACACGCCTACGGTTTAGTTTTCAAATTCGAGCGACTATTTTGGAAGATACACTTGACTGTAGGGCTTAGGTAAATACAACAAACTATGTAACATTAGTACGTCTGGTTCACTGGTTACCATCAGTACCTAAAAACCGAGCGAAAACCCAACCGAAACATTGACATCTGATATATCAGATAATTAACCAGTTTTATGTGTCATGGTTATTAGAGGGATTTATTATGTTGATTTCTTAAGGTTTATATTCTTCAGGATTGTTTTGTGTAGCTAATATTTCTTATACACGTGTTCAAGCTTGAATATCCATTTGATTTATTGGTGATTGGTGACAGCCTTTATTCTATAAACGACTCGCTCAATTTTGAAAAAGAAATCATAGGCGTGTAGGAAATTAAAAGCCATTTCCAATGATGTGTCACTCGACCCAGTGTTCAAATTAAAACTATCTGGATCTGGAGGATGAACTTAAAAACACTCAAAGTTTAATTATAAACGGCAGAAACTGATAAGAGAAAAATTTCATTTAGTTTGTATTATATTTAAATTAAAGTTTCATAAATAAAATTGCTTTTAATTGGTCGTAGATACTATAGTATGTAACGCGTTATAAAACGGACGTAATGTACTATTATAAAAATGTGAACATGTGCTGTTCAACCGCTTCCATTTACAGCAGAACCTCGATTATCCGAGCTAACGTGGGGAGACGTACCTCGGATAACCGAAAACTCGGATAAAGCGGAAGCATTAGTCACATATCTACATACATAGGTAAGCCGGAAATGCGCAACTCGTTCGGCTCGGATAAAGCGAACGCTTTCCATTGGATAATACGGCTTGGTTAACAGGGAAGATCGGATAATCGGGGCTTCATTGTATTTATTTCACATATTTTAAAATATTCCTTGAACACCCCTTTATAAAATGCTTAACTGTCACCGTCGGTATCTAAAATCTTTGCAGATACTACACGTTTTCGTGTTTTAGTTTTTCCAAAGAATGATCTTCTTTTCGTATTACCGTGGCAAGGAGTACTTCAAAGTTTTTTCCAGTCAATACCACTACGTGACGATGATGACGTTGAAGGTTATATTATGACTAGGATGAAGTAGATAATATCAGTAATGTGCTACTTTCTACTTGGTCTGAGTTACCTCGTTCAATTGATCAAATGCGTGCGAAAGCGGAGTTTTAAAACACAAGTGCTTAAATGTTGCTAAGGAGTGTCACTTCAAATATGACATAAAACTGTCCTCTGGAGCTGAAACAAAAAATCTTCTCAGGTCGCTTTTTGTAAATGCAAAAGATTTCTTTGGCGTGTATCTATCCGTTGTTCGAAGCTTTCGCAAGCGAGTGTAATTTGGGGTATGCTGCCAAATCTGTCCCATTTCTTAATTGCAAATAACGATTTGCCTTTTTGAATGAATGTACCAAAGGCTAGAAGACAACGCCTTTGACATTTCCTTCATATATACCAGCATTATCGATGTATTGTTCGTAAGATTCTTCCTATTCATCCACGAAAACAAATTTTTGATATTCTTTATAATGATCATACTGTATTTTGATGTTGCACCTACCAACTTTTCTCCTGTTTTTGCAACAAGCCATTGAATGGACGGATCTTTTTCAATCGAAGTCATTTTATTTACAAAGACAACGATGTTTTATAAGCAAACGTCCAGTGACATTACCATTGCAATCATGGGATTATGAAACAGCCCACTTAATTAGAGATGTATTTCAGTATAACGTCAATATGATTTTATTTTATTTCTCTTATTTATAAATTATATCGCCCGTATACTAAAAACTACTATAAGAAATACGTGTATAATAATTGGTGTTTACACTTATCTCTTAAGATACTATTTTCGGCAGCCTTGTGCCTATGTAGAATGCCTTTCCCAAGTAATTGCATTCCATGCTATTCGCAATGATTTCATGACACTCAAGTCAAGAGGCTGAAGGGGATCACTTGAATGCGCCATATGTTCCTGGCCGTGTTTTAAGCTTTTGCCAGGAATTAATTTGCATTCCTTTTAATGCCAAACTATTCAACACACCTTCACTTATACAAGTGAATACCTGCAAGTATAATGTAGTCCTGGTTTCAATTTCAGCTTTTGCACTTCGGAAAATCAGATTTATCAAACTTCTGGGCCTCATTGTCTTATCCGGCCAGAAACAGCAAAAAGTAGATTAAAAAAGTACGAATTATTCTATACCCTCTTTTAAGGAAATCTTGACACACTAAGCCATTAATTTTCCTTTATTTTATAATCCCTATCTCTTAAAATCCTTAAAAGGGGATTACAAGGGACGCATCTTTTAGAAATACAAAACGTTGCATTCGTCCTTAAAGTTAGAGATCAAGTCTTAATTGTGATTATACTTGACATCGAACACGGTCTTAACAAGTAATTTAACTCGGAGAAACGCAATTTTTCTTAATTATATTGCTGTTGTTATCAGATTTTGTTTGACTACTATACAACTAATTTACATATTTGTAATTTAACATTTAATTAAGGGAGGTCATTTCTCATAGTCACCCTTTTCGTGGTTCTTTAGAGATACTTAGGTAGAGGTTAAAGTGATAAGCTACCTTTTATTTATGTGCTGTTGCAGAGTTTCCGTTTAATTTATGATGTTTAAATACCGAGTATCTGAGGTTGTTTTATACAAGGCCTGAAGGGTGTAATTTATGTGGGTCAAAAATTCACGTTTACATTATTTTCATTTCCAGTACCGCCGCTCACCGCGAACCTTGTTGGGGAAGAATTTCCCGTTTCTGCCGGAAAATTGTATCAGTTACAGTGCGAAATTGTTGGGTCGCAACCTCTTGTGAAAATAACCTGGTGGAAAGGGCACGTTAATGTGGTGGATGCGCATGAGAAGGTAAGGTTCGAAAGGCGGTTACAAGCATAACGAAATTTCGTATTATAGAACAGTGATGACGGTAATGTTACTATAAGTACATTAACCTTTATGCCGACAGCCGAAGATGAAGGGAAATACGTATCATGTAATGCGGAAAACCCTACAATCCCCAATAGTGCACTGGTGAGCGGGCGCAAGTTGACCGTTTTACGTAAGTTCGACGAAACTTTTTTGTCATAATTTACAACTTCTTGTAGATTCGCCATTACTTACACTAAATTTGGGTAAGAATCTCAACAATAAAATTAAGGAGGGTAGTGACATTTACTTTGACTGCAATATTAAGGCGAACCCTTGGGTTTATAAAATCAGTTGGAAACATAATGTAAGCTAATACAAACAACAACTGCAAGAACTGTAAACTAATTTACAGGACAAAATGTTGAACAGTAACACAGCTAAAGGCGTAATCATAAACAACCAAAGTTTAGTACTTCAAAATGTACGCAGAGATAAAACCGGTTCGTATTTGTGCGTGGCAAACAACGAGGAAGGTGAGGGCGAAAGCAATTCGATTCATCTCGAAATAGAATGTAAGATATAAAGATAAGAAAACGCATACTTTACAAATTTATCAAAATTAGACTCGCCGACTTGTCGCTCCAAAAAACCGGCCATTCACGAGGCGACCCTTAACGAAACCCTCGAAATAAAATGCGAATTAGACGCGAGCCCAAAGGAATTCGAGTTTATTTGGACATTTAATAATTCAGCCGGTTTCCAACAATATTTATCTCTTCATCGAAATGCAAGCGCCGTCATCTACACAATAAAATCGGAGAATGACTACGGAACTTTATTCTGTAAGGGAATCAATCCTATTGGTGATCAAGAGGAGCCCTGCATGATCAACGTACTCCCTCGAAGTAAGTCTTATGTGATGTCATAATACTGTGGTTCCTAAGGTACTTAAAATGTGTTCAAAATAAACATATTACATTTGTGACAATGTTTGAAGAGATTCCCGTACGGTATACGAATACCTTTGTTTTATTGTGCATTTGATGTTTTAGTAGTGGCACTCACGTTCAGTTCGCCAGACGATTTTGGCCGGAAAGGCCAATTCCTCTCATAGATGACAATTGTGAAAATCGGCGGGCCGAAATAATTTTGAGCTACGATTAATAGCCGACCGACCACTGCCGACGAACTGAACGTGAGTATCGAGCTTTAGCCCAACTTAAAAAGTGGAAGTCCTTATGCTTTCACTTTTTTATTCGTCTATTCCTTAGGTCACTATGAATCATGAAGATATTCCTTCTAAGGCCGACATTTACATTAATTACGTCGATGTGTAATGTATAACAAAAATATCGTTAGGTTTGATTGGTGTTAATTATCCCAAAATTAAAATTCTCGGTATATGCCCCACATTTCCACGAATATTTAATGAATTGGTTAGTTCGAACGCAACTTTCGATTAGTTTTTCACAAAACCCGAATTTATTTCACACTAGTCTGACATTTACTTGAATCGTTAAAACACTTTAATTTAGTGGTCAAGATCAAACTCCTTAAACTCCAAAAATATCATTTACCAAAGTTTTGACAACAGTTGAAATGCACTTTAGGCGCGGATCAATAAAATTAATCGTAATTGAGCATGAGACATCTCTCTGAATCATTAAGGGATCGAATGAACACACGACTTGCATGATTTTACATAAACAAAATTTATTCTGACATGCAATGCAATGATATTAAATATACACTTACGAAATCACTATATCACCCGGGCACACAAAAACACTTATTATTAAAGGAAACAATGTACTTAACCGACACGTGTGACGTGACGCGCAAAAACTTGGTCGTCTTAATTTAATTCCCCAAACAGGATGTAGAGACGTTGATTGTGATATATGACTGAACGCAAAAGTACGCCACCCATGACTCGAATAGCTGTCCGTTTAACGCGCACGATCCCTTCAATGAAGCTGTTATTTCCAACACGTCCCGGTTTTCTTTGATGAAACAGCGAAACAAAGCAACTAATTCTGCCACCAACTAAACACAGACAACGACGCGTCTCAACCTTCAAAACAGCAACTTGCCCTCACAATTGACAGACGGATTCTTCAAAGGACCGCAACTCGGGCTCTGTCATGTTGAAAAACTGTATTCTTTCGAATCGCACGCCGGCATCAAACGGCAAAAAAGCGTCGATCTAACGCCGTCCCCAGTATTTAAACGAATGTCCACTTCCAAACACTCTAAAATTTCTTACGCAATGAACAGCCCTTCGTAACTCGATAAATCAACAAATTGCAACAGGACGCGTGTTTTTGTCACGTACTCGGAATTATCTATATTACTTTTCTACGAAAACAAAGAGTGTTTTTTTCTGATTAAAAACTTTATCTCTAGACAATTACATTATTCTTTTATAAAATAAACGAAATATCCAATAAATCAAGTCGGAGCTGTCACAAATTCATTAACAAAATAAAATTGCTAACATAAATTGAGATAAAAATTTTCTTGTCCTAAGAAATACCCTTTCTTTTACAACGAAATAAATAAAACAGATACGCAAAATTGTTGTGTTTATTCGTAAATAATCCCAGGAGATTGATTAACATGAGTAGTGAGCATTTGATTAATAAATAAACCACCTGCATTTCATCCCTGGACCTAAACCTCAATGTCCCAAGCCTGCATTGTTTACGCAGCAATATGATGCGCCGTTGTCATGTTTTTTAGTTCGAAAGTTAAAAAAAAAGTTTTATTGCACCTTTAACTATAACATATGCCTGGAAGCCCTTTCAATTTTCATAATTGCTGAGGCAGGATTTTTAAAATAATTACACCTTCGACTCTATTTACCCCATTTTACAGTAAGGTTTAATGTTATCACAGAACCGAATGTAAATTCAAAAATTTGTAAAGGGACGTGAAGTGAGAAAGTCAGGATTAGAAAGTGAGTTTTAATATGGTCCCCCTTCAAGTCAAATTTGACGCGTTCGATTATTTTTTTTGTAAATGTTTCAGAAAGCGACTTTCTAGGAATTGTAAGATTTAAAATGTGTTTGTAAGTGTAAGTGACCGTAGGAATACAATGCAAATGTAAAAGACTATCAATATTCCATCTTATATGGTGGGGGGAGGGGGGGGGGGCAAAGCGTAGTTTTCATACGTGAGCTCTGGCACAATTTTTAAAATGACATTAAGTTTTACATATTTTAGTACATAGTAATTTCGCAGGTGAATTAGGTTAGCACACCTGAATGAATCGGCGCTCCCTAATATTGTGCCTATCTATTCTCAAAATGCTTTGAAACCTATGTAATAGTTTTGTCCTGATTTGCGCACCGACCAATTCCAACATCAACTCCAACTTCACTTTTGTTTTCAATTATTATTGCTTGCGTTTACCTCGCTTCGCGTGTAACACACCAAATCCCGCGCATCATGACAGCACACGGTATGCTGGATTTCATGTTTTCTAAATACTGAATTACAATTTTTCAGTTTTTATCAACTACGCATATTTTATGTTATTTTACAGCAAATTGATTGTTCTTTTGAGACCTTAAAAAACATAGGCATTGAATTTCAAAAACAAAAGTTGCCTCCAATTCAGATGAAACCGGAAGTGATGCCGGACGTTTCAATATGCATTAGGACAGATCGTAATGTCACATAACAGTATATTTGACAAACGCTACAAACCCTGAACAACCCGAATGCCCGCGTTAATAACAATCGGAATCAGCTGATATTAACTACTTCCTTACGGCACACCCGTGCCTTGAAAATGTTGGCACTAGATCTCTCCAGGGTCCAACAAATTTTTATAAACGTTCTGTGCATGGTGCCCACCCAGCGGACACAAGTGCCTACGCATGAAGCTTTCAAAGCTGATGGTAACTACAGGACCTGGGCGGTAGTTGTATTGCATATGCCATAGGTACCAAGCAGCAGCGGAAGAAACATGAGTTTCGCACCTGGTCACCGCCCACCAGAACCTGGGATTATCGTACACTAACTTCTTCACCTGCCATAATTATGGCACCAAAGGTCGCTGCCCTTCCCAGTACACCTGAACGTTGCAGATGACCATGACTAATTTGCCGTGAAGGTGAACAGCAAGGTCCAGGACCCGGGTTAATCAGTTGGCGGTCCGGATGGCAGACACGAGGTTCAACCTGCACAATCCATCTTTTCCTCCTCGCGCGTCGACCCTGCTTCCTTGCGCCTTCATAGAGGCGCTTGATGCGCAAGTGGCGAATCACGGGACATCCCTGTAAGTAAGACATCCGTGCACATCATCAGTCATTTAGTCTCCAGATTCGAGATTTCCTTAGTCAACATGTCATATTACTTCAGCATCAGTACTATATTATTCAATTTCGCGTTTTGTTCTGAAATCATTCATTTTATCCATAGTATCAGAAATGGAGGTGTTATCAACTCTATTGTGTAATTCTTTGACCTCGTCCAGAAGGAATATCTGCGTGGCCACCACTGCACCAAATATTTATGAGTCAGTATCGTATTCTAAGATTTATGGGATGGTCACAGTTTCTTTCTTCATATCCGTACAGGTAATCCTCCTTTACAGTTGTCGAACTATTTCTCTTATGACCGTGAATTTCCTGCCTAAGTCTTCCATCTACTTGGGATCAGGGTATCAATAGAGGGTTCTGCCTCACTTCTCTTCTCCTCTTCTATGGAGGTTTTCGGAAGATCATCTAGAGTAAATATTACTGAAAAATCCAGATATTTCGTCTCAACATCCGTATCTTGCTTGGAAGATTCAACCCCATTTTTATCTTAAGATCGGCGCCGGCTTGAGATAAGCTCCGGTATAGTGCCGGCTAGTCGTCGCTGGTTAGTAGTGTACCGTTGACAATCCATGGGATCACGACACATCTCGCAGATAATCATTTTAGGTTTGCTATGGGACATCCCGAAAAGACTTGTGTTCGCTAGGTCTATTATGAAATATATCTTCTAAGTATTTATGGAAGAAATCTAGGGCCCACAATGCAATTTCTTCTTCCGAATCTAATTCTTTTCCGATTAATTGACACATAAAAAGGGACATTTTGTAAATATATTTTATGTCTTACTAACCTATCATAACACATTTTATATCTGTGATACGCGGGCATAAAGTACCACTTTATGCCCTAGGGCATTAAGTATCACCATAGTAACTCATTTATACTTAATGGCAAAACAAACAAATATTTGCAGGTCATTGAAAATTAGAAACGTCAATTATTAATTGTCAATACCTACTAAATCACAAGATTTGCCTTATTTCGTATAGTTTCTAGAACTTCTTGCTTATTCACGATGAAATGAATTATTTAAAATTACGTTTGACGTTTGGATGGTTTCAATCACATTAACAAATTCGAACCACGCATACTCGATCAAACATAATGAATTATTTTGTAAACGAATTTTGACGAAGAAAACTATTTGTAAAACATAAAATTGTGTATGTACCACGGGCATAACCTGATGTTTATACTCTCGGGCTACTAAAAAGCAGTTTTCAAATATACATAATAAATTATCATTGTTGATTAAACATTTTTCGGAAGAATTTCTAATTTATCGCCCAACTGAGCAATATACGAGCAAACGAACAAATAATAATTTTGAACACATTTTAAGGAAATTACTGTAATTCGAATTTTAAAATATTTTGAATAGGTAAACTGGACGTGTTGATCAACTGCACCATAAGCACCGAATCGAATCAGTCGCTAAATGTAGTCTGCACCCACAGATTAGATCCAGATCGAAAACATAGCTTTATAGCAGAAGTTTACGAATTCGGAACAGACAACCTGCTAAGGAACTTGACCTCCACAAAGTCATCGTTCATAATCTACGGTTTAAATCCTGGACTACAAATTGAAATTAAGATATATATAATGACTGAAGCAGGTAGCAGCAAAGCAATACATCTTAATGCCGTTATTCCCAGATGGGAAAACTTGGCAGGTAAGTGTACTTTGTTGTTCGAGAAATAAAGGCTTATTCGTCGTTTATTATTTAAACCGTTGCTGCGGCCGTTCGAAAATGTACCTCCTTAGAAAGGAATTTAAAATCTGCAAGACAGTTTTTTTAAACGATCATCGAAGCACTTTTATTTCTCATTATTTTTGTATTAACCCTCAAGCGATTTACCAACTAAGTGGTCTTAAAACACCATTAACCCAGTAATATTGTTATTTGAAATCAGAAACATCACGTGTAATAGTCCTGTACTATATAATCCGGTTTATTGCGAAGTACACTTTGCACATTTTTTTTTAATTTTTAATAAAAAGCGCCTAAGAAGGATTTATCCAAATTGGCGAGCAACACAACAAATACATTTTTAAATATGTTTAGTAGTTGCTGAACTTATGGAAAAATAAAACTATGACGTACGTCGGCGAACTAATATTTTAATGTATTCTGTGGCGATCGATTGCCACAGAATACATTAAAATATTAGTTCGCCAACGTACATCATAGTTTTATTTTTCCACATTTGTAAATGTTTGTATCGCCCTTCTTCGAACCCGCGAATTTCGAGGGAGAGCCTCAAATGAACACACGTCCATACATTGTATGTACATAAAACGTACTTAATTAAAAATTGCAATGTACATTGTACGTCCATCAATGTATTATGTACATCCATCGACATATGTTAACAAGATAAGTTTAACGGACTGCAATTATACACCGCTATAACCGAGACAAAAAATCTTCCGTAATAATCTTTGTTTTTACCTCTTTTAGCTTCCCCATTAAATTTTTCAATTACACCAACTCTGGCAATTACAGTGAGTATAGTAGTAGTGTTGGTTTTGCTCTCGATTGGATTGCTCGCAATTACGCGGTATCGTCTTTGTAAAAGGCGGAAAATGGAAACTAATTATAATGAAGAAAACTCGTTAAAAACTAAAATTGACGATAATGATGTAGATGGGGACACAAATACGTTCACAATTAAGGAGGAGATGAATCCGGACGTTGTTCCATTAGCAACAAATATAAAGCTTCCTAATAGCAGGAGTACATTTCAGCAGCAGCCATATAAAAGCTATATTCATTTAAAGGATGTAGATGACATACAAGTAGAACGACCTTTGGTGAGTTAATAAAATGTACACTAATTACTCTTTTAATATCTATCGCGTAATTTTGTGAACCTAATTTCGTTTCAAGCTTCATCCACAGTACATTAATCCACATCCGAAGCTAGTTCACTACAACGCTAATCGGATGCCTCCGTATATTCGAGCTATGCACCCTCGCTTTGCACCTGCAGGAACCATGCCAGTTGTCCATGAAGATCAAGGATATTCAATGGATGTAGGTTAAATTTATAATTATGTTACATTGGAAATCGCCAATATTTCATTGTTCATAGGCTTTCCGGCCGCTGTTAACCAATCGCATTAGTAGGATGCCTATGGTTGCCCTACCAACACAACAGCTTACTGCCACCCAGTTATAGTTAGATTTACGAGCAATAATAGCAAACTGTGATATCCCTATTTGAAAAGATAATGTAATAAGTTATAAGCTTTAGAAAACCTAATTGTAAATATGCAAGATTTAAAGTATTATTTGTGTTACCATGTGTGGAATCTAAAATTTAAAATAAATTTAATACCTATAGTTGTTTCGTGATTTACTTTGAGCATAAATAGGCAGTACACTAACGGCCCAGGAGAAAAAAAAACATAGAACACAACGAACGTCGGTCGTTCTCAATTGGTAAGTACATCCTTTGAACACATTGTGTATTCAAAATGAAGTCGGTGTGTCTATGAAATCACGTTTTCGATAGTTAACCAGCACGTTAAACATAACGTGACGGATACATAACACGGCCGAATAACGACAGCTATAATCGACCGGTTTTATTTAACTGCGATACTCTTGTTGACATTCTCAACTTCGCACTTGCAGAAGAAATTGAAAATGCGAACAGAATGTTCTATTAAATTTCTCAACTTACCATGGCTCCATAAGCATCAAGAGGGGTTCGGGATTTTACTAGTCGTAGGCCTTCACTATTTTTCCGGTAAAAGTTACAGTTTAAATTTCCACAGATACTACGATTGGTTCTAAACACATTACTGTAGCTTTAATTTTTAAGGTAATTATAACATATTTGATACCATTGAGAGAGAATTTCAAGCTCTTTAAGAATAGTACAGAAAAAAAGTAACCGTTCTATTAAAAAAAAATAATTTGTTTTCTAATGCTCTTTTGTTTTTATATCACTTGTTTTTGTTTAATATGTAGCATTATCAGATATTGGACACGCAAAATCAATCACACTGTATAGTATAGTTAGTCGTATAGTATAATATTGTTTCAAGGTCAGGGTTAGGTATTTAGGTTTTCTTCAAAATGAAATCGAAGATCATCTTAATAATTTACCTTTAATAGTTTTACGGCGAATGTACTTCCAACAAGATGGAACACCGCCTCACAATACCAGAGAAGTTCTTAATTACTTAACAGACTATTTTAATAATCAAGTTATTACAACCAATGGTCCTGTACGGTGGCCTGCACGCTCACCGGATCTCACTGTGCTCCATTTCTTTATTTGGAGGTATGGGTATTGGGTCCACTATGCAACAGCTCCAGCCATTCTTGAAATCTTGGAAGAAAGAATTAGAAGTGGCTCTAAAAAAATCAAGTAGGCATAAAATTTTTTGAAAAGGTCACATTCTGATTATCGCTACTAGCAGTAGACAATCCCCTTTTTTCTTTCTGAAAAATTAAAATGTTATTAAGTAAAAATCTCAAAATGTTGAACATAGCTACTTTTAGAATGGTTTTGTCGAAATCTGCCACAGCTTGCTAGTCTAACTGCGGCGAATCTGAAAAAAATCATTCAAAATTAACTACCTACATTTGATTGGATTGAAGTTAGCAATAAGGCAGTGTGTAATTACGTTTAAAAATGAAAGTTTAAGGTCGCCTCATCACAATATTTGAATTGAGGCGTTGCACCTTCTGTAGAAGGTTCTGTAACAAAATGTATCAATAAAATGAAGCACAGTTATAGTTACCGTTTTACTTACGAGCAATTAAATAATCACGTAGCCTATCAGGGATTTCAGAATCCCCTAAATGATAGACATTATAAGCCTGTCCTCCAATCCCATGAGCTGTTTTGCGGTTCCAGCACTACCTCCAGTTTCTGAATAATTTTTCGGCTTTTTGACCCTGTATTATTAACCTTCTATTTATATAAAAAAATATGTAAAGAAAAATTGAAAAGAATTAGTCCAGGCATAGCTCTAAAATAATTTATTTAAAAAAAAATAATTAAAACAGCAGAATTTTTCCGCGGGTGAAATCCCAGGGGTTGAAAGGGGTGGAAAGTGGTGTTTTGCAAATTGTGGCAAAACTATTAATTTTACACGAAAATTTTACACGAAAATTTTCGTAAGGACTTACATTTTAATAATCAAAAATAAAAAATATTATTCCAATAGAAAAATGTTAAGAAAAGCGGCAAAAAATCGGGAACAATTTTAAGACTGCCTTTATTTAAAAATCTTTATTGTTTCTTTTTTCTGCATTTTTACCGCAATAAAAGCAATTCGAAGTAAAATCGAATTCTTTTGCTTCCCGAAGTCCGAACGATTTGTTTTTGTTCACTAACTCTTTTTCCTGCCTGTTTTACAGCTGATCCGATTTCGCTGGGCCTGTTGATCGTTAATTTACAGGAATTATGAATAAAATCCTCACGAAGCTTATTCCAGGTTTTACATCTCAAATCATTTACTTTGGCCGGTAAAACTAACGTACTTATTGCAGATTTGCATCAGCTATAAAACAGGCAGGAAGAAGTCGGTGAACAAAAAGAAATTGTTCAGGAATCAGGAAGCAAGATAATTCGATTTAATTTCGAATTGCTTTTATTGCGGTAAAAACGCAAAAAAAAAGAAATAATAAAGATGTTTTAACTAAAACAGTTGAGCATAAGATAACAAAAGAGAATATTTAAGCAAACATTAAAGAAAAGCAAGAAGACATATTTCGAAAAAATCTTTACTAATACCCAACACGTTGATTTATCATGTCAAAAACCGTGTATATCTTAAAACTGTTTTTCCAGTTTTTGGTGGCGATTTTATCGAATTTTTGCTGTAGGAATAATATTTTTTTTATTTTTGTTTATTAAAATATATGTCTTCCCGAAAATTTTGCTACTCCGCGCACCTCAGATTTTTCATCCCCTTGAAAAAGAGGTGGTTTTTTCAGAAATCGTGAGAATTCGGAAACGGTTCAACTTTACGGGCCCAAAAAATTGTGTCTCCTTTTTTATCATAAGAGAAGCTATGTTTACTCCAAATTTCAAACCCCTACGACTTTTTTTCGGAAAATAAGAATAAAAATCGAAAAAAAAAGGTTTTTCCGGTTTTTCTAGGAAAATTGGAGGTTATGTGTAAATACTGCAGATACAAAAGTTGTTCATTTTTTAATTCTCTATAACTTTTACATGGATCATTTTCGTCTAAAATTAATAGTTTTTCCACAATTTCCAAAATACCACTTTCAACCCCCGGGACTTCACCCGCGGAAAAATTCAGCTGTTGTAATTATTTTTCCACAATTTCTAATCATTTCACCAGCATGAAAAACTCGGTTTGAACCGGTAACTAATTTTTTTTGTAAAAAAATATGTAGCCTGGACTACTATGGTATTTTACCTCCAGCCACTGTGGACCCGTTCGGGGTCACCAATGTGGGAATTCTTTATGTTTAACACTCCCAACGCTAAATATCGATTTAAAGCTGCTAATAAACTTTTATTTAAAAACATTGACAACTTTCATACTAATCGATTTTTTTATCTGTTATTATTTTCGTCGTCCTGGAAACAAGGATAGTTAGCAGTGGACTGCATGGTCGCCACACTTACTTATTATTCAACCCTTGTAGTAAAAAAACAGTTTATTTCTGCCAGTAGGACATTCCTCTTGTCTGTGGTTCTTGGTGCATTTTGTTTCAAAATTAATATAAATAAATAACACTACGTAGTCCAGGGAATAGAGGGTGTTAACTTGCAAAATGAGAAGTAGTTCCGATTTCTTTTGCATGCCATAGACAGTCATTTGGTGGTTAAGAAACCCATGTAATTTGGTTGGTTTCTTAGTTTTTCAATCATATCTTTTTAATGGCTTACGTTACAAAAAAATGTTGTTATCAGAAATTATAGACTATAAGATTCTACACAACTTTGATATACACTACTTTTTTGTGAAATGTTTATTAAAAAAGATGAGAGTTGGTTATATTTTTAAGAATTCTGAAATTTTGATGTAGATGTTTTAAGCAAATTTTATACTTTATCTCTAGAATTAAGAGTTTTATGAGAAAATATCTTGAATTTATCGTGGTATAAATCCCCCTACCCTGCACCCTTACCAAAAGGGATGCATAATAATGAAACTTGCAACCCTTGCTAGTGAGGATATTTGAATCACTGTAAGATTGTAGCGCTTTCTAATATACGTTTGAAATTAAAAAATTGTTTCAATTTAGTCTTCAACCTCCCCCCTCCCCCACACACACTGTACGAATAGATTTTAAACGCTATTGTGGCGATTGATAAGGTTCCTGATAACAATATTTTGTTGTACAGTGAACCTATAAAAAGATATGATTGAAAAACTAACCAACCAACCAAATTTCTTTGATTCTAAGGGTGGTACGGGGGAAGCACAAGGGGTGGGAGGTCGAAAACTTGGATTTTAACCACCAGCTATTCTTCCATGATATGCAGGAAATGGTCCATTTCAAGTCTCTATTTCCCGGACTAATGAAGCTTGGTCACTAAGTACGCAATTTAATGAATTAATTGAATTTAACCTTTGTTACGGGGGCGCCGAACTAAAATGTAGCCCAGGGCGCTAAAAATATAGGTCGGGGGCCTGGGGACGCGTGGTTCTTCGAAGACGGACTACCATTTCACAAAAAATTCAAAACTCCAAAAATCGATCATTTGTTTTCCCGCTTGCGCATATCGCCTGATTTATCGCGTTCTGCCTCCCTTCCCTAACTAAAACTAAAGCCTCTTAGTTATAGCGGTTATTCTATTGTTGCTTATTTCAGTTTTAACGTAGGCAACATAGTTGGTATCAAAAGATTCACGTTTAAAGTCGTGATACGTCACATAAAGTAATCAACTGACCGTGGTTAACTTTACACGTAAACGTAAAAAAAAGGTACTTGAACTAGGCGCCACAAGCCGAGTTTTTCCACAATCCTTAATAAATAAGGTATTAAATGTAATTAAAACTTTGAAAAAGTGGCAGTAATCGTATACTTTATAATGCTTAAATCAGAATGATCGACCAAAGGGAAAAATGTGACAAGATAAGGAGACCGGAATGTGACAAGAATTTAGCCATTTCACGGGCAATGCTAAATAGGAAAGGACAATTAATAAGCATCACAAATAACACATAAGGATTTGACGAAAATTAACACGTTACACATGACCTTGAAAAATCCCAAGACTGCGACGCCAGATGACCTTGGGTATCATGACCTAATGATATCAAGATAATGACCTTCACCCAGTCAATTTCTACCTACTCTTTGTAGGCCAAATTAAAATTAGAAGTAGCA